AGGTCCGGCGTCCGGCGTCCCGCCTGCGGCCGCGTTTGGATCAACGCCGTCAACATGCTTTGCACCTCGGCTTCGCAAGGAAAGGGCGGCCCGGATCGGTGGTGGCTGCAGCGGGGAATCGGCGGGGAAGGTGTCTGAGCCGGCTGGTCTGCAGCCGGGCGAAAGCTCCCCTAAATGAGACCTTCCACACCTGGAACCTTGGGGAGCAGTGGAGCATCTGTCCCAGCTGTCCCCGATGCAGAAGAAAACCTCCTGATCTGCAGAATGGGGAGAGGCGAACCCATGAATCATCAATACAAACTGCCCCAAAATGCCTGAACGACCCATGGCCGTCTCCTCCCAAATCGCAGTGGCCATCTGCAGCACCTGCACCACCCGAAAAACGCAGGCACTGACTTCAGCCCACTTCTACCAGCTTGGGCTGGGCTGCCCCTGCATATTTCAGCACGCCATGCAGCTCCAAGTAGTCCCGCGCTCCGGCTCCAGGCATCTTGGGGGTGGGCTCGGAGGCGCTACCTGAGGGCACCCGAAGACAGGCGCGCCAGGTGGCGCCACAAAGAACTGTTGAGTTTAAAGCTTGTTTTTTTTTCACACCTACAATCCACCAGGGCTGTGGGGGCCTGGTATTCGGGCAGAATGTTCCTTAATGATTCATGGTGTTTCAGTGTTTTCTCTTCACCTGGCATGATGGGCCTCTGTCCCCCGCTTCGCGGCCCAGTTCTGCCTTCAGGACTGTCGGTGTCACTCGACGGCGGCCTCGTGAGTGGTGCGCTCCCCATGCAGTGAGAAGAAGTACCAGCCAAAGGGTGCTGAACAAATGGTTTTTCAGCGGCCGAATTGGAACAACTTGGGTCCGTGGGGGGCTTGGAGATCTCGGGAAGCTACGTTGACCTCGCTGGCGACTTCAACTCCCTGGCGTTGGAGTGAGTGAGAGTGAGACATATCGTGGACGCATTGGGAGTGATGAATTGTGGACGCCTGACCTTGGACGCCTCACCTGTGAACACCTCAAAACAACCCTGGCAGATCCCGCTGGGTGTTCCTTGCTTTCATCTCAAGGTGTTCTTTTCGGTATTGGCAGGACAATTGGGAACACCTCCTTCTCAAGTGTTCCAAAGTCGATTTTCACTAGTTGGCACTTGGCACGGACTTCAACATTGGGGTATGATACACACCCTGAAACGAACATGAAAGTGCACAATCCTCTATTCGTAGAGGAAAATAGTATTACAGGAGGCCATTGTCCACGTCCATGATTGTTGGAGGGAGGGTGGACCAATAGTCTTCTGTCTGTCAATGAAATCTCTGACCGATTGCCTGGCCCTGCTCGCCCTGCTCCCTGCCCTCACGCTTTGTCTGGCCTCACGCGCACAGCCAGTGATACGTCTGGCCGGTCCCAGAATTGCAACCCGTAGGTGTCCTGAACTCACACGAATCGCTTGTGACACACGAATCGCTTGTGATAGCCACGAATCGCTTGTGATAGCCATTCACCTTGGGAAAATATCATCGAGATCCTACATGATGGCCGTGCACCCCGCGATGCAAGTCTTTCTCCTGCTGGGGGTGTAGCACCAGCCGAGCCGATGCCAATGGCTGGAGCAAGTCGATCTTCAACCTGTCAGTCAGAATCCATCGGGGCTCCGAGAAAATTGAGAATGTGAGCTAAAAAGATTGTTTACAAGAAATCTGCAATGTGAAACAAGAGCCTAGTATAGGACAGGACATGTCTTGTGCATGTTTGTTGTTCTTTTGGTGGAGGCCCGCCAAAAAGAGACATCCAGGGATGAGAAACCTCATATAAAGTTCGACGTCCATCAATTGGTTTCGGAACGCCAGCTCTTCATTAGACACATAAGCAGCGCATGAGCCCTCCCCACAATCGCCGCGAAAGGATCCTCCACAATCATTACCTATTCAACTTGCGTATTGCTTGTAAAAGCTCTCATGCGTGTTCGCTGGTGGTCTTTGGCCCCTATAGTTATTTGTACGACATCTTACACTCACATGCGACAACATCAGGAGAAGGGAAGTACAGTACTAGAAAAATGTATAAACCTAGCAGGTCCTGTACCATCCTGTGCCGGACTTTCCTTCTGAGCTCCTCTTGCTGAGCTCCTCGTTTGGGGCGGAAAAGAGCTCCCAGCACCCCTCCCGACTCCGTCGCTCCCTTCGCGCGATCGAGCTCCCGGGCGGCTCTGTGAGCGCCTCGATGCGGCCTGAGAGGAGCGGCTGAGGAAGAGTTAAAGGACCTCTTGATGTCATCGAACTCGCGGATTTTGGACGATTTTGGATGATTTCGTTTGGAAGGCTTTTAGGGGATATTATGTGTTTGCGTGATGTGTTCCATGGCGGGTGCTTCGGAGGATCATTCTTGCCGCTTGCGCGGTTTCGATCGCGATAACATTTGATGCTTGCCAAATAGCCGCTTGCAAACTAACATGGAACCTGAGAATTGACCCGTGGAAGACCGTTGTCCGCTACAATCCAGTGGTTTTTGGGTTTCCATGTGGTCCTCTGCAGGGGAGTAGATCGTAGGCAGGTGCAGTTGGTGACTTCTTATCCTCGCCTCGGGAGGTGGAAATTGCGGACGCCCAATGGATGTCGAGTCTCTGCAGAAGACTATATAGTGTAAGAGACTGGTGCACCCCATGGCTTGACCGCCCAAAACCCACATTCACATGGTTTGGGTGCAGGCTGTGCAAAACCAATTCCGCTCCGATGGCCGGGATCACCAGAAGAGAATCAGAACCAGAGCTCCCCAGGCCCAGGCCACTATTTCTGTTGCCCAATTAGCTTAAGGCCGAATGCCAAAACGGTGATGAAAACTTTGCGCCAAGTGAAAACATGCGCATCTTTCGAGCACGTCCAGCGCACAGGATCTGGGCAGCCCACAAGGAAACTTCATGGCTTGACCTCGGGCCACACCCAGAGGCGCCTCGCGTGAGCGTGCCGTTTGGCTCGTGGGGGGGGGACATTCCGGATGAGCACATGCCACCCACGTTTGCAAAGACTGTCGACGATCACCGCCTGTCGACGAGTCCCACCGCAGCGAATGGACACCTGAGCGAGGCTCGCAGTGTGTGGTTGGGGCCTTTTGGGGTGAGCTCATCAACATCTGGTCATCTGGTCCATCCCACAAAAGTCTGTAGCTTGGCCCCCAAAAAAAACAGAAAGTTTCGTTTTGCACCAGAAAGCTCGACAAACTGCATAATAAACATCCGCCTATAGCTTCCCCTTGCGGCCAGTCTTTGCAAGAAGCCGGACCCTTGGCAAGTCGTTTTCGGCCCCCCAGCCACGCAATCATCTGGGAGGCCAGGGTGCTCGGGCACCAACACTTCCATCGCTGGCCAACGGTGGTTGGGTGGGAAGGTGAGTCGTTTCGCGGGTTGGGCTGAGCAACTGGTCAGACTTGCAAATATGTGTTTGTGTGTGACCGAAGGTTGCGATTTGAGTCGAGCAAGTCCTTCTCCGTCAAAAGGATAAGGGAGTTCAGCTTGTCGGATGGGTTCACTCTTTCCAAAGATTCTGACCTTGAAAAATGACCGATGAGCACGTGTAAATACTTCCTGTGTCTTGGCCAAGTGGCCGACAGATTTGGAGGGTCAAGTTGGCCGGTGGGTTGGGCTTCAGGGACCTTTGAGCTTTTGCATGCTTTGCGGGGGTTGCTTCTAAGGTTGCAATGCGAACCCGTGGAGTAACCACGCTCTCGGCATCTTGATCCACCTCGGCCCAGCAAAAAGTACCGACCAATGCAGCGGAACTCCTGCCCAACGCCCGCCAATTGGGGTTGAAGATGGGCCAAGGGATAAAGAACCGCACTGGCTAGGCTAGGCTATACCCTTTCATGCGCCAGATCATTTAGCATCGAATGTGTTCATCTGGAAAACCGGTTCTCGAATCCGAGATCGGTTCGACCACCATCTCCTGCACATGGGACTGGACCACCAAATGGATAACTATACTTCTCCACCCTAAACCTGGTAGTAGAACTATGGTCCAGTGCCAAGGAATTAATGCCGGTGAAAAACGGCCCGCGGCCCCGGCCGCCGGTGTTTTGGTCAAGTCCATGCGCTTGCCACGTGGACCAGCGCTGGTCCACGTGGCCGACCCTTTTGAGCATGCGTCAAACACGCGGCCCGATCGGTGAAACGAAACGGTGAGACCGAATCAATGGGAATTCAACTCGAAACTTGCCATGGTCCCTCTCCCCGGTCGCATCAGGTCCACGATCGAAAGATTGCACGATATTCAATATGAAAACACAACTTGTGGCCTAAAGAAATGGGAACAGTGAGCCGTCTGCAATGAATTTTTGTCTAATTGTATCTTTCAAACCACTTCAGGGGGGTCTCTATGAAGCAGCCGCCGCTGGGCCATCAAGTTTGAGAAAGCAGCACAGTGAGTGGGGCAGCTTCTGTTCTTTTTGTGGGGGGATGATGTTGAGTCAGATTTTTGGTTGCTTGTGGCGAACAAGGTGCGCAGGGCATGGTCAGATCTCTGATTTGCATGGGACCTGTTTCAAGCCACTCCGTGGGAGAAGGCTCCGACCCTAATCCTCATTTGAAAAGCCGTAGTGCTCTTTGAGCCGTTCATAATGGTTGTCTGTCCTCGATCGCTGGGCTCGGCATATGCCAGTGAGTTCCTAACGTCTCCCTTGGCTCAGCATTGCCGTAGATGTTGATACATTAACGTCTCCCATCCCCATTTCCCCAAGATGGAAGAATCTGTGATGATGGTGTAAGGCCATGGCCATGGTCTTGTTCAAAAGTTGTGCATCGGTCTTCGTCTTCCCTGAGAAACTGCGCCATCTCCAAACCAAACTGCACCTTGAGAACAAATAAATGAAAGAAACCACAAACCAGCAAAACCTTGCCATGGCTTGCCTCTTAGGCCCCTGATAGACCAACCATCCTGGGGTGAGCACTAGGCACAATGCTCGTGCACTCCTGCCTTGGCTCATCCCCACACCTTTCGCTATAAACACCACCAGGACCTTGTCAAACGGTGAGGGAGCAGGCATGGACCCACACGATTTGTGTCAGCTGATCGGGCCCTCGTCCCTGCCAAACACTTGCCTTTCCGATGCCACCTCTGCCGCCGAGACGCAACCAACCTTCAAAATGCAAATGGTCTTTTGACCAGCTCACATTCCGAACTTTCTTCCCATCTTTGCATACCTCACGTGTCAAGACCGCTTCGAGCAAGAAAGAAACCATCGTGGAATCTTGGGTCCCTGTGTCTGAGAGGACTTGTCCAGGGTCGTATGCAACGGTCGCTTCGATGTTCATTAGAATCGGTCGTTGGTTGCCGGGTTCCGACTCAACGTGATTCCGACTCAACATGATGCTAACGATGTCTCAATGCACTGACGTTCCCAAAAGAATAACATGGTGGTAAATTGTAGACAGTGCTTTTCAATACTTCAACGAAAAGTTCGCCCACTGCCCCAAATACAACCACATGGAACCCGTCTACTTGCATTCCTCAGGCAGCCTGGGGGTCGACGGTCGACGGAATGGAATCGAGAGGGATCCTCTCGCCCGAGGAGACGTTATTTCCAAGAAGCCCCAAGACAGGATCGCGGATCGCCGGCACGAAGCCGCGTGAGTCCCACGCTCAGGGTCCGGGAACTCAAGCGTTAGAGCCGTGGCGCTCTGCGACCAAGGCACGAAGAACGAATGACGTTCGGGGTCAGGGATCTCCAGGTTAGAGTCACAGATGGCGATTGATGAATCACTACAAGGCCGGGGAGGCCGCTTTCCAAGCGTTCATCGAGCGTTGGGGCCCGAGCCCCTCGGCTCATCATATTGGCAGAAGTGGGACAGCTCAAAGGCTCAGAACACTCAGTATGTAGACTCTTGAGGTACATAAAGCCTTCCATTTGAATTGGAAGTCCTCTTCATATGAGGGGCTTATTAATCAAGAGTTGAAAGGAGTTGCGGAAAAATTGCGGAAGTGACCTTTTTTGAACAAATCTACCGTGTTCTTCTTTGGTGGGTGCTGTCACGGTTTCGGACGTTGTGCTGTCGCAATTTGGTTCAAGGCCTGGTGCTACGCATCTCTTGTTGGTTCAAGGCCCGGTGCGAAAGACCACTGCGTAGGGCGTCGGTGCCTCCAATCTGGGCGTCTGGGCTACTCATAAACACCACCTTGAGGACACACGTGCGCTTCCAGAGGGCGGGGCATCTTGGCAGACCTTCGGCCACTCTCCTCCTGCCGCGGTACTGCCATTTTCTGGTACTGCCTGTGAAAACAGCGGTTGGCGAAGGCATGGTGAGGTCAGGTGAAATCAAGCGCCAATCACGCGCTTTAATCACGGCGGTGTGTGAGTGTGGAGATCACTGCTGAAAGTGATTCAAATCTAGACGCTTGAGGCGACCAGCTCGGCATACAACAAGCACATGCCAGCCCCAAGTACGAGCACGTGTGCCTTCATCTTGCCACCCGCTTCTGATTTATAAACCTTCGAATCGAAGAGGGGTCACTAGACTTCCTCCGGAAGAACATCAGAATCAAAGGACCTGTTCCTGCCACACGCTTGAGTCTTCATAGCATATATATAACTATATATATATATACCCTATAGAAGTCCAAAGACTATTCTATTGACCGGCTGAAGTAAGGGAAGTTCCCTCTCAGTTCCCCTAAAGACCATTCTTTTTATAGTCTGTGACTCCCAGGGTATATACACGTATCCCGCGATCCACTGGCGCCTGACTCAACATAGCTGGCTCTCCTAACCGACACGTTCTTATAAGCTGCGCGCGCAACCAGCCCAGCGGTGAACTGTTGAATGAATGCTGACTGCAGGTCGCGCACGCATCCCGCACGCATGCACGCGCTGTGCGCACGTTAGGCAGAGACAACACCGACCGGCCTGAAGAGGCAGCACTGGCATCCGCAATCATCTGCAGTGGTGAGCCCCCCAATGCTGGCACCCAAGTTTGTCCAGTGCTGGCAGGCAAGTTATGTCTGGCGGCATGACCTGCTTCCGCCAAAATCAATAGATGTTCTTTTTGGGTCCTTTCCTTTGACTTCCGTTTTTCGTTCAACGTATCAATCTTCTTGTCGAGTACTTGCTTTGATTGCCTTACAATTTTGACATGTCATTGAAGAGCTCGACACAAGCATTGGACAATTGGACAAGGTGTTTTGGGTTTTGGGCCGCTACCTCTGACAGTCAGCATTGCGACCTCGCGTCATCTTCTTTCGGATGCACAACGTTGCCGACCTCGCATTAGCATCTGACTGTCCAGGTTGCACAGCCTATCTTATCACACCTGTTGGATCACAACTTTTGAGGTAACACTTCTTTAGCTTCCGCCGTCTTTTCTCGCGCAGAGTGCTGTGGAGCTTGGACCCTTCAACACAGGAGCAAGTGGAACCGCCCGCAGGCGCGTTTATCTTTTCTCAGAAAGAAACACATTCCAGGAAGCCAGGATATGAATTTTGATAGAAAGTTTCAATGTGCGAATGAGATTGTCCTTCACAGACCTGCGTCCCTAACGAGGTTGTGGCCTGGAGCAGAAGCGGCTTTGACGGCTGGCCTTGCAGAAATGACAAAAGTTGTAATCATCCTGCGTAGGTAAAAGTCTTGTTTGTAAGACATCAATGCTTCTTTGCAAAGCCCCGCTTTTTTCACAAGCCGTGCATTTTACCACACAGACAGGCTATTTGGAAGAAGGCAAGACAAATGTATTGACAGACTATGACAAGCACTGCCTGACATTCGTGTTGACAGAATATGCTCTGACACAGCGACATGAATCAGGAATCATGAGGCTGCGCAAGGAAGCACGAACCACGAATCACGCGGATTTCTGGGTCGCGACGAGCCCCGGATCACCACTCCACGGATTTGACCCTCCCTCCAGGTTTTTTTCTTGTCTTGAAAATACCGGATGCCTCCCCAATCGGTCTTCAAAAAAAAGAGGCCCAAGTACAAAACCGTGTTTGTCTTCTGAGGTGCCACCAAGCGCATGGAGGTGTGTGCGCGATAGCCCATGGGAGCCATCATCTCGAGGAAGGTATTCTCATCGAAGCTGCCGGTACTGAAGAAAAGGACCGATCAAGCAAACAGCAGTCACATCAGAGTCTTTGGGGCCTTCGGTTGGAACAATTCATGTTGAGGGTCTTGGCCAAAACTCCTTGCACCTCCTCAACTACTTGGAACTACACGAAGAGCAATACAAACTAAAGACAGATCAACGTCTTTGGTTGAAACCCGCTGTGGCAACCGCCCCCAAGAAATGAACTGACACAAGCTGAGACATGAACTGCTGATCCCACAGTATGTGTCAAACACTTCCCTGCAAAAAGCAATTGGAGCAACCCCCACAAAGCGCATGCACACCATAACAGGCCCATCCAAAACGCAAAGGGATCGACCGATTTCTTTCGCGGGAACTGCCACCTTCTTCAGACGCCGATTCATCATGTGTCCCAAAAATTGGCTCCCATGTGTCCGTCGCACGACGCGCACATCGAGAACGGTACAAATTGACCGATTGACCCCCTTGTTTTTCCCGTTGGTTTTGGGTTGACAGAACCTCCTCGCACGACGCTCCACCAGCTACGGCGGTCGCTCGATTCGCTCGTCCGTCCCCGTCGGACCCGGTCGGTTTCTCCTGCGCTTGTCGTACTTCTCCCGCAGCAGGCGCACCATCGGTTCCTCCGCGATGCCCGCAGGGATCAAATCCACGTAGGGCACCTCGGAGCGGAGGTAGAAGGAACGCGGGTTCCGTGGATTCGAAGGAACGCGAGGAACGGACGGACGCGGCAACGTGGGGGTTTCCAAAGAGGGAGGACCGCCCCCAAAAAGCCGTTGGGAGGTCGCGGGTTCTGCGAGGGATCGCTCTTCTTCGCACCAGTTTGGGACGGAGTGGATCGAAACGGAGCCCATTCCAGCACCAGCTCCAAGCCACTATCTAAGTCGCTGTTTCCGAAGACTTGGGTTTCTTGCGCTTCCGGCGGTTTTTCCGGACCCACCGGCTTCCTCTCGCTCTCTTCCCAGGCGCCGTGCCCATACGGCGGCCTCAGTGGCACAGGCACCGAAGAGTTGGAGGACTGGTCCGGGGACTGGTCGGGTTCATCTGCTGTCATACCAGCTCGAGGTTCAGTGACATGAACTAGGACCCTACCAGAGGGTACTAAGCTGGGATAGCCTATAGGATCTATAGGGTTCTTCAACCCTGTGTTGGTACCTGGGATGAATCGGAGTAGATTTCTTCACCAGGTCTGCCAGAAAGGCTGGAGAACATGGTTCACGTGCTATCTGCCTACCAGTCACGTGCGTCACTAGAGGAATTTCACCTCAAAGATCCCCCACAAACACCCGTGACCGACTGCAGCATGTTGGGCCTTTTTGGTGTCGGATCCTCCCGGCCTCGAATGTTTGATGGTCTTCCTTGGATTCAAGAAATCCTCACCCGTTCCAAGCCAACTAAAGCCTCTTGAAATGGATTGGTTCAAGGGAAGATCTACAGGAAACCATGGCTTTTACCCCCAAGACGGGAGATGGTCCGTTAAACCAATTCTGGTACTCCTTTGCAACCACTGGTCCAATCTCCCAGCACCACGCCATCTCAGTCCAAACCGGGTCCCACCGTCGCAGCACACCAGCATACACCAGCCCTTGGTCACGGACACTGCAATGCGATGTTCTGATGGATCCTTTCTATATCACTGGACAGTTCCTGCTCGTGTCTTGGTACACCTTGATATACCGCCAACCCATAAAGTCCAACTACACCCTCCTTCACCTCCGCCAAGTCGCTTTTCTCCCCCTTTTTACACCCCAATTCATCCCAAACCCGCCCCACAAAAGCCGCGGTCTGCCCGCCACTCTTCGCGCTCTGGTCTTAGCGTCTGTCCATGTCTTGAAAGCACTTCCGCAGCTCGGCCCGCCGCTTGCGCGGCAACAGCTTCGGCGGCGGCACTTCGATCGCGCGCAGCCTGGTGTGGTTGGGACAACGGGTGCAGTGTTGTTGGGACCACGGCCGGTGACAGCGGATTCAGGGGTGGGAAAAGAAAAAAAGTTGGAACATCATAGATAATGATGAGACTTCAAAGATTTGAGTCATGAATTACATTCAGATCCTTCGAGAAGTCCAGCAGTTTTGGAAGGACGTGTTATAGGAGATCTGAGATTTGTGTGTATCTCGGTGGGGGTGAGGCTTTTGGCTCGTGGGGAGCCACTCATCTTGGTGGCCAATTTCCCAAGTGAAGCGAAGGCCCAGGTGCCCACGTGACCTGCATACCCCTCTCCTTTCAGCCCCAACGTCATCCAGTTCCTTCATGCTCCAATCCGACTTCGGACGCGTTCTTCCGCCTTAGCCAGGGTCCGCCCCACCAGCCTGCAGTGATCAAAGACGGTGCACATGTGATCCATGTCTTCGGTGGAGGCATGGGGCCACATCAAATGCATCATCTCATCCTTCGACACCTGCGCTCGTTCGCCGCGCCGGCGGAATCCGAGCCGCCTTTGGTGCGGATCCGCGGGCCGCAGCTCCGGCGACGAGTCGATCGGTCTTTCCACCAGCAGTTCACGGGTTGAAAATGCATGAAACCAATGTTCGGCTGAATTCTGCCAAAACCCCACCCCAAAGAACGTATAGATGTGGGCGATTTGGCGTGTGCACTCCAGCTTACCCACTCCAAAAAGCCCACGAATGAATCACCGGATTCGTTCCATGCCAAGGCACAGACACCTTCGCGGCAGGGAGGCTAATGCTCGCCTTTGGCATCAGGTACCGGACACATCGCATGCCCAGCAGCCTCGCAGAGTCGAGCTCGGTGACGACGCGAGGATTGCGGGTCCGGCAGAGGCCACGAAAAATCGTTGATCTATCTGGTCCCAGAACTGGAAGGAAAAGGCTGAAATCCTAGCATATAACATCATGTTATCAACCCTTACAGCCCCATAAGAAAAAGGAATTGGCCAAACTCCGGATGTACCTCGAAAAAAGCTGAACACGCTCAGACTTGGTCTTGAACTTCCTTCCCAGCCTGTCCACCTTCCGCTTGCTGAAGAAATTGGCAAATTCATCCAAGTCCACCGTCCCGTCGACGTCCAGATCCATTTGGCACCAGCACTGGCAGAAGGTCTCCACCTGCGATCAGACCGGACGGCATCGTCGACCCAACCCCGCAACCCGTGCCCAAACAATGCATTGAGTGTAGCCGCGTAGCCCATCCTGTGAGGCCAGTGGATGATGGTTAGGTTGCAGGTCTTGCTCAAACTAGTGATAACTGTCTACTGATCAGGGTCAGTTCGGACCACGTGTTCGCGTTGTAAAACGCCGGGTCGAAAAAGGTCCAGCACCCCCAGATCGAGCGTAGCGTGTCTCACCAAACCGTAGAACGGAAGAAGATCCTCGTCAGATCGTGTGGAAGGAAGCATGTTTATGGCCTCCTCATCCGTGCCCCGCCGTAAGAGGGCCAAATATTCCTCGGTGAGCATTTCGTCACGGACAGGGCATGCACTCGAAAAGCATATCCACCGAAAGATCCCCCCAGTGTAACGTCAGGAACATGCGCTTGGGGCACGAGAAAAGGCGGTCTCTAATGTGAAACATCGAGGAAAACAAGTAATTAGACCGCTTTGCCTTGAATTTTGGAACCTTCTCTGCTCTCCTCCATTTGCCTCACCCACGGCCAAGCATCCTTCTCTTTCTCCGGGGTGTGCTCCACACTCTGCGGCCCCAGCACCAGCGTCCGCCTCAGACCAAGGGGTTGGAGTTCCTACCCTGAACATCCTTTCTGATATATATATATATATAAAAACCATCTCATTGTTAAACCAACGAGAACTGGGTGCTCAAGGTCATAATCAATGCCTTGTGCACTCGTAAACTTGCTCCCCCTCTTACTTCTGCAGCACTTCCTGCCCTCACCGTGGGCAGGCTCAATCTAGCTTGCATGAGTTGGTGACCCTCCCGATCCTGATGTCTTTGCCTCGGCTACATCCAAATATACATGGTAGAAAGGCCGACCAATTAGACCACATTGACTGGGAGACGGAGACTGGGAGAAGTCAGTGGTTTGTGGGGCATGCCCATCAAAAAATCCTGTCAACACGTCTGGTAGCTTGGATTTGGCTTCCAAATCCAACCCACCTATCAAGTTGAAACTGGCATCGCAGAACCAAGGACCAATGACGACGCCCCACCGCCAGGACACAAGCTTTCTGATGCTTCCCGCCGTCGAGCATCACCCTCGTCCTGCACGACACCAACGGCAACGAAGGCGGAAACTGCGTGTGACAGGATTAGGGATTGACAAAACCCGAGGATTTGCTACATAGAAAATAGAGCATGCCACCCAAATAACAATAGAGCTCACTTCGATCTCTTCACCTCATCCATTTACTTTCAACCAGCTTTGACTGGGCAAAGGCCCAACCAGCGAACTGAGCTAACCCAGCTACTTAGCTGCCGAAGTGGGTGCACGTGAAGCATTTCGTGCCCAAGTGAGATCGGCAGCCTTGAACGTTTCCGGATCACCAAGAATGGTGGCCTTGTTGGCAAAAGCCACCCTACCATCCGAGCCACCTCGTAACCTTCATAGCCTTATTTCACTTGGCGCCAGGTGGCGCCGAGGGACAGGTGGGGAGCAGACCGCAGATTCCATGAAGAACATGCCACCTTTTTGCATCCTAGCCTATACCATAGCACGTTGAACAACACCACGTGAGCACAACAGGGCACAACAGGATCGCTTGTTCAATGGCTGTGCTGATCCTTCAAGTCTGGCAAAAGCATCGCTTTTGTCCTTCCCCGCCTGCTTTCTCTTCACTTCGAATGAGGCAAGCGGACCCAAAAACATGGCCCCCCCCCTTTCTCCGTCACGGCGGCGAGTTCCGGGGGTCTCCCCCGTCCTTCAGCTGGTCGAGATCGGCGGTGGTCTCGCGTCCAAAGTCTTTGCCTCCTCCAAGCGCACAGGCTAAAGCAAAGGAAACCAAAAAAGGATTGCGCTTCCACTGGGCCCCGAATGCGGTCGACACCTCTGACATTTTCGTGCCAGCTGGTCACCTGTGGAAGATTGAGAGACCCTGGTCTTCCAACCAAAATGACTCGCAAGGACTCTTCCAAAAATTCCCAACTTGAAACTGTATAAAATTGCATATAGTATGTTCGGCTCATATAACCAAAAACTTGGTCATCAAACTGTGGAATACAACCATTTCAAATGAAAAAATCCAACGACTCGGCTCCGTTCTCAAAGGACCGCCTCGGGGCCCTCCCCGCGGAGAGGCGGCCAGGTTGATGGCCGTGAGCCTTGGAGCCCTCGGCATCGGCAGAGAGCCGAAGGGGCTCCACAACGGCCGGTGTGACCGAACCACCGGGAATTGGTGTTGTCATGATCGATGTGATTCTGTGTGATTTGTTTATGTGTTAATTGGTTGCTTGTATAGGCTGTGAACTACTGCTCGGCAAAAAAACATCCCTCCAAGCCTCTCCGTTTCTTGGGGAGCTTGCCAAATCCACAACTCCCTCGAACTTGAGCCACCTGCCTCCTCCCCATGGGTTGCTGTACTTTTTAACCTTTTTTCAGGGCCATGGGGAATTTCGACCACACCCAACCCGTGGCATCCGTTGCGCCCAGGAACGTGGTGCGGCTCGTCCTCTGAGGAGACTCGGACACCTGCGAGACAATGGACGAACAGGCCTCAACTCTGACTAGACACGCCTCCGATCGATTTCTTTCGTTACCAACAGAGGTTAAGGGGGGGAACCCAGTCCGACTATCCCAATCGGGTACCCCAATAGGGTAGGGTCCTTTGTCAGGTCACTTATATAGCAGACTTATATATAGATAGACTGAGCCACTTAGCCTCTCTCTTGGTCATTACCTAGAGCCTGAGTGACCTCTATTTTGGTAGTGACTTGCCTATCCAAGATATGGTCTTTTCCTATCAAAAGGGTCACTCAGGCTCCAGGTACGTCACTCTTCCTCACCACCTCTGTGAACATGAAGCCGTCGAGCCTGAATCGATGAGCGACTCCACCCTCGCAGAAGGAGACCAATGCCCCACCGACCGGCCGATCGAAGAACCGAAGAACAACCGTCCAACCAGGTCCAACCTCTATTCTGACTGTTGCCCGGCACCGGTCAACGGATCCAGTCACCTCTTGACCCCCGTGCCGCTGGGTGTGGCAGAAACCGCCGCGTCGTGTTTCGGGTGTTTCCACCCGGTACCTGTGAAACGCTGATGCGTGGCCCGCGAAGTCCCGCCAGTGAACTTGGGCTGCCACCTGGAGTGTAGCCAGGACCAGTCCATGAGGGGTCTGGACTCACAGTGAGACCCATTGCAGGGCCGAGACCCTCCAAAATGAATCAAAAGGTGAAACTCTTGGCCCTCTCAACGTGTTCCAACGGCTCTAGATCGCCATGAAATCCACAGAAGTGGCAGGACCCTGAAAGTGGATGCAACTGAGACCAAGCGCCAGCTTGGCGGAACCAAGGACCTTCCCTCCGCAAGTGTCTCGTGTCTCGTGTCTCGCGCCTGCATCTCGGTCTCTTCGACCCCTGCCCAAGCTGACCAACCCGGGTCTGGCTTGGAAGTGGTGTGCATTTTGCGTTCAGTGGTCCACATTGCAATGGAGGTTCTGAGCGATTATATATGACTTACCCTAGGCAAATGACCAAACCATGCCGAAGTTCTCGATGGCGATGCTTGCAGGTCTTGGATCGTAGCCGCTGTCGCCCCGACAACGACCTGCCCCCCGAAGCCCGTCCATCCAAGCACCATCCGCAACCCTTGCAATTCTTGCGGAGTTCCTTTCTGAGATTCCGGCGTGCGCCAAAACCGCATGCTTCCGCCCAAAAGTGCCGTCCAACAAATCGCCCAACCAATCGCCTCCGGGAGGAGGGCCGGTAGTTCCGCTCAAAGTCTGCTTCGAGGTAGGGCCGCGGCGTGATGGCGGTGAAGCTCTTGAGCGTGGTTCCGCCTCCCACCCGCCGCACATTGATGGCTCGAAACAAAGAGAATTGGCCAGGGCGGGCGGTGTGGGTGATGGGATGAGTTCAGGACAACTTCAGTGCAACAGCTCCTAGAACAAGCTTTCCTGTCACACCCTCCCCCCCTCCTTCCCTTTGATGCGTACTCAGGCACACATCGGGCTTGGTTGCGGGGCTCCGTGCTCGGCCAAGAGCCCTTGGCCGTGTGAGGGGCTCGAGATTTGAGGAACATGCCAGCCGCCGAAGCCCGGTCAGTCTCCGGAAGCCCCCCCCGTCGAAACCGCGGCTTCTCCGCAATGCGCATTTGAGTTGAAATGTGTGTGTGTGTGTGTGTCAACGCCTGTTCTACCACTCACACTCTTTTAAAGGCAGGGGGGCAGTGAATCTCATTCCATCCACTGCCCAACGAAGACGGTGGTCTGAGATTGTGATATTCTCGAGGGACGCCTTTGGAACATACCTGCATTTCATGTCTCCCGTTTCACCCATGTTAAACCATACAGTTGAAGCGGACTCCTTCACCTTACCGTTTTGCAAGTCAAGGTCTACTGCACCGGCAATGTAATCGCTAGAGTGGGCTACCTTCACGGATTTAGCTCTTGCGAGCATCAATCTAAGTGTGTTCGAATCCATTCGCATTCTCCCAAGACCCCAAAAACCCGCCAAACCCAGCAAAAACCGTTCGCCAAACGAGGGCTCACCCCTCCGTCCGTCGTCTGCCGGCCCAGGCACCATCCAGGAAGGCGCCGTAGTTCTCCTCGAAGAATTCCACCAACTGCTGCGGCTTCACCTGGCGGTGCCGGAGATGGCTGTGCTGGACTCCGTCGTGCCCTGCAGGAGAGGTGAAAAAGGTGCTCGTGATGGTCTGGTCGAAGGGGGTACCGTTCTTGGAACTTGTTTAACTTAGATTATATACCTAGCCCACCACTAGGTGATGTGGACAGGTGGAACATTCTGAGATCCATGCGCAGATCAACCTGGTTCGGGAGAAACTCACTGTCCCCAACATGTTACCCCCACTCTGGCCGTCCAGCGCAGAAGGTTTCTCGAGTGTCCTGACCTTCTCGACGAATATTCACAAGTCTCCACTGTCAGAAGCCGCCAGGTGGAAAGCCGAACCTCCTCCATGAAACCTGCCCAACCGGCCCAGCCCCGCTCTTCTTGAAGCCCCGCCATCCGAATGGGCTCCGCTGCTGTTAGGCCGCTTGAGGATTCCAAACGCAGCCTGGAGGCTTCCAACCGAAGAGCCCAAACGGACTGGGGTGCACAGTCTTGGACTTGGCAAAACGCCTAAACCCCCGGCGTTTGTGTCGTTTGGTGCCCTTTGGAGTCCTGGACCAGTATGGTACAGCAGGCTCTCCTTCTCACTTGGGCCGTTGGGGGGAAAGGCTCGGCCAGCGAAGAGGAGCGGTTCCGACCCGACCAGGTTGACGGAGGAAAACATGCAGGTCGAGGGACGTGCTCTTCGTGCTATCTACTTTAAGATGCTCAAAAGGTTACCCTTCCAACCTCCCAGAAATGATCCAAATGGTTTGTTTATCGTGTTTTTATTATGTTTTTAATTGTGTTTTTTTCTTTGCTCATCACTCACCCTGCGGCACTCAGTTCTCTCCAAGCTTCGGTGGTGGTGGGGGTCGATGAAAGGCCGTCGCCATGGGAGGAACCGACTCCGCCCACGACACGCCCGGTCTTCGGGCGGTGTCCGTCGGCGGCGACTTTGCTTGGGGTGGTAGAACTGACCATTCGGTGCTTTTATTTACATCTCTTGTATAACATGCTTCTGGACAGCCCTAGCTAGGTCCAGCGAACGGATCTACTAGCTGTGCCTTGAAAACATGGGGAGTTTGGGTTCGTGCATGTCCGCAAAGGAGGGCACGATCCATTCAGTGGACAAAACAGCTGATGATTCTGAGTCAGGCGCTATGCCATTCATACATCTTGACCTTGTGTAGCCTGGCTCCTTCCTCGGGCCCCTGGCGGCAGCGAATGTCCGTCACGCCCCACCGGCGCTGCGCGTCCCACTCGAAGGCCGACGGCACCAACATTGCTCCGCACCAAGACCCAGCAAGGGGCGGCGCACCGTGCGCACCCATCAAACAGCATGAAGCCGAAGCCACTCACCACACAAAAGCCCTGGGAGGCAGCCCTCGAAACCACATGAAAGCACCACATGCCAGCATGGGTTCTGGCGGCGATCATGCAGGCTCCTTGGCCTGTTGTTCGAGCAAGGCCTGGACACGCGAAATGGCTGAAACCTTTCTTTTTCTCCGCCCCATCGTCAAAAGCGCAGTCACTGAAGTGGACTCTAAAAGACCCCGCACGGACTCACTCTTCGTGCTTGCGTTTTCGGGCAGAGCTTCCCCCAGCCCTCGGCGCGGAAACCCATCCAAACAGCAGGCTCCAACAAAACCAGAGATCACCCAAGACCTTGCATGCAGGGTGCAAACATAGACACTCAAACAACCGCGTAGCAAAACCCCGTAGCAAACCGTACTCAAGAGTTCTCCCTTGCATAGCCGCGGTCCGACCCCTGCTTGGCATGTTCAAGTTTCGCTGTCTTTTTTCGAAGCCGGATCATGTTGATTTTGTCACCATTCAATTCTGATGCCTCCCTGTTTGTGGAGCCTGGAGCTTTGAGTGCAGTGGGCTTTTGCAACTCCTCAAAACCTCTGAGAGGCAACGCTTCACCGCTACCCCCCCCGAAATGACAAACTGCGCAAATGAAAAAAGAAGGATCAATTTACTTCTGCTGCTACATGGTCGAACTACTCAGACGCCGAAATCAACTGAAGCTCCCGAAGCTCCTCCCCTGGATCCCCCACTCTCCCGTCCCAAACGGCATCCCCGGTAGTACCAAGGAACATCTTGTACAACTCATCCCTGTACTTGAGAACGGCATCCTCACATTCGACTCATCACCCGACCCAAACCCGCCTTCGTTTGGACCCACTGGGGGGGCGTGCGGCTGCCGCGGGGTTCTCATCGCTTCGATCGCCGGTCGTTCGTGATGCGATTGTTCCAAGCGTCCGACTGCTCAGGGCGATCGGAACGCCGTGCACTTCGATCGTCAATCCCACAGGGATGGACCCAAAGATCTACATATTACATGCTCATCCGCTTTATCTGATCTGGGAAAGAAGCACGAGGCGTGTCACCAGCAGAAGCTGGGTGGAGACTCCAGGTCAAACGGTGTGGAGGAGTCCCAGTCGTCACCGGCGCGAGTCGTCACAGTTGCGGGTCGTCACGGTGAGTTGCGGGTCGTCTTGCAGCAAGTTGCTTTATTTTTCCCGATTGCAGCATTTCCCAGCAAAGCCTCAGATGCTCGGGGATGCTCGCGTTGACTCCGGACCCATTACATGAAGACTGTCTAATGGAGGTCTTGAAGCTCCATGGCTCTTCGTTTGTTTCAAGTATAATCAGGTACTTCGAGCTAATCAAACGTATGCTCTTCAAATAGTTATCGTCTTGATTCTTGAGTCTTGTCTTCACAAAAATTGAGCTGAGAAGCCGAGCGATTCGCTCCGCTTGCAACACATTCCCGGCTGCCTTGACGGTGGTCTGGAAGGGAAAGTTGGTTCCATCCTGGCACCCAAACGCAGCTGGTTATTAGTGGTTGCAACTCACCTGGCAAATATAAGGTCATCAATCATCCGACGAAGAGGTTGAAAATCGAAATATCTGAAACCCCACCCAAGCAGCACCACAAGAACCGGCACCTCGGCACCCCAGAAAAGGAACTGTGCCGTGCTTTCCAGCCAAGTACGGGCAGCCGTTGTCCCGCCCCGCTGCGTTCCCCGCGCGCGCTCCTTTTTGTGGAAGACAAAGGCCACCAAAGGCGAAGGATGAGACAGTTGGACCTCACGGCACTCTCAACGACTCCTTTGGCGTTGCTCCATGCGTTCAGCGCACGAAGGGATCTAAAGGCCCTTTGGGCTGTTGAACCTCCTCACTTCCCCCCCACTACCATCGGCCGACCGGGACACAGCACGTGTCGGATCCTTTGGAACCTCCGGGACACTCGCTGCGAACGTCGGGCCGGCACATCCGGGCCTTGCAGTACTTCCAGGCTTCGCTGCTGTCCTTCACGTCCTGCCGGAGCGCGGAGCGCGCGGGTCGCGCCCAGGTTGCCAAATCGACGTTGCCCTCGCAGCGGAGCGGCCTTCCCTTGCACATAGTCTTTGGCCAACTCATCGCGGAACTTGGCCGCCTCCTTCTCAGATGCACCAGATTTCACCTGCCTAAGATGATGTTCTGCTTCCTTTCTTGTGTTTTTGTCATGTTTTTGTTTAAGCGGTGATGAAGAGTACTCCTGAAGGTGTTCAAGGATGCGCTCTCTCTCTCTCTCTCTTTCTTTTTGCACCGTGGTTGCTGGCAAAAAGCTTACACAGCCGATAGTTCTGGAAGAAAAACAGTCAAGATACCGAAGATTGAACCATTGGCCCACAGGGACTTCCACCGTCTCCGGACCCTCTCCCTATTTTTCGACTTCGGAGAGAAAATCCATAGATGACGACAAGCATCTGCATCATCATGATGGCAACACGTTGGGCAACCTTCAGCCAATTGCCAGTGTAGGCTCACTGCTTGCATTCTTGCTCACTGACCATGTGTGGGACAAAAAGCGTCCAATGGCCTTCAACGACTGGAAGGCTTTGATGTTCACGGACAGCTTCACCGTCCGCCCATCGTGTCGAAATTCACCTAGGCTTTGCGTGCAAGTGTTCGGAGGCAAATAGCTCGATCAAGTGGCTTCCACCGTAATCGTGGTATCCACTAGGGGCTCTAGAACTGGAGCGCCTAGTGGGGCAAGCATGCCGCATGTCATGTTCAGCACGCTGGGACCAGACTGTTTGAGAAGGAAACCGGAGATTCAAAAATTAAAAAATAAGACATCAGCACCAAGGGCACAATTCACCGACGTCTTGTCATTCGAAAGGGCATCTTCAGCTTGAAATCGTGTCGTCTCCTCTGTTCGCATCGTCCTCAGCCACAGTTAGTTGGACAACCCGCAGTGAACGGCACACTCCCACACGGAACTCAACGCCAAGAGCTTCGCACCCATGTGCTGGCCATGAGACCCTGTATACCATCCTTAAACCCTTCTGGAACCTCATGTGTGCCTGAGTGATACGCTGGAAGCACCCGCATCTGCCCCTCTTCTCCCAAAAACTGCGCGACAGTGTAGACCTGTCATCCAGGTTCTGGTTCACTCACCCAAGGATCAGCATGTCACGATATACTGCCCCAGTATATAACTCTATATATAGAGTGATTCCAAGCCACTCAAGAAAAGCTGGGAACCCAAAAAGAGTCCTTCATCACTTCCGTGTCAAGGTGCGCATCATCAGGGAGGCCATACACGTTCCGTGCCCACGTGTGGCGGAACTGTCGGTACTCACAAAGCTGGACCTGAAGCGACACGGCTGGACCGGAAAACGAACCGCACGCCCCCAAAAAATGAGCGAAACATGAACACGTGGCTTCAAAGGTTTGCAATGATAGTATGGAGCCAAGCCCAACAAGAAGAAGTGGGACATGCTTGCACCTTCAGTCTGTTGGATGGAATGCTTCATGAATGAGTCTGATATCTGCATGCTTGCAGCCGCAGCCATGGACAGATGCTTCACATGCTTCACATCCAAACTCTGAACGAACAGTGCCTGGAGTGTTGAGGCACTCATGTGGTGTTTCTTTGTGTCCGCTTGCTTCACCACCTCGGAGCTTCTCCGCCGAGCTGGCGCTGGCCGGGGGCGGAAGGCGGAAGGCGGAGCGCAACAGCCGGGGACCCAAGGAAAAATACGAGAGCAAGATGCGCTGAAGGCAAAAAGTTTCTTGAAAACAGAAAACACATGAAAACACCAACGGTGTTTCTTTTGTTTGAAATCACGACGGTTTGTTGTACTTCTTCCTGACTTGAGGATTTCTCCTCCCTTTTCCAGGTCAGTTAGGTGCCAACCAAAACAGTCACCCGTGGCGCTGAGCGCGACACCAAAGGCAAATGGCGGAACTTCTGACGCATCGATGTCTCGACCTGTCCGGTTTCGACCGCCCCGGTGACGGCCGAAAGCGATGCGAGGTCCCGCCGCGTAAGGGCCTCCGTCAAATACTTCCAAAAGTGCTTGGCAGAAGCCTGGAGGAGTCTTCGAAGTGATACCAATGCTCCAAACCAAAAGAGGAAAAGAGAGAGAGAGAGAGAGAAAAACAAAAAAATGGAAAACTATGTGTATGTGTATGTACATATATAAGCTATAACCGTCTGGTTGCAAGTGTTTTGGTGTGTTAAGAGGTTCTCTAAAACATACTTGGCGGCATTGATTGGCCCATCTTCTCTTGACTCTTGACTTAACTTACAAGTGGCATGTAATACACCTCTCGTCTAGCACAAAACACAGAGGTTCTTGGAAAAACTGCTGACTTCGCCCAGAAGCGCTCTGCGACTTGTTCACTTTCCCCAGCAGCTCTCGCAAGGCAGACCGTCGGTCCGGCAACTTCCTGACACCGCGGCGGCGCCGCGTTGGACGGAGGCGATGGAGTCGACGGAGCCGAGCGGCGCGTTGCCCAGAAGGCATTGCAGGGGAGGAGCTGCGCCCACACCGACATCGCAATCCTCGGGAAACGCGGTTCGCCACTTAGAAGTGAAGATCCCCAGTCACAAAGTCATCAAAAGAATCCGAGGGGGAAAACAAGGTCACGCCCGCTGCAACGGCCCCAGCGACTTGCACGCTTTCACACGCAGCTTCGAGTCGTTTTTAACAACCCCTCTGGCACTTTATGGCGCTGCCTGTTTTAGCTCAGTGTCATTTTGTATGTGTTTTTACACCATATCACGCCTCTCGATTCGTAAATCCATGGTGAATTGAGAGTTCGTTCGGAGACCTGGAAGTCAAAAAACAGATATTTTATGTTTTCTGTTGTTTCACTAACATTAACACATTTCCACTCTTTCAGCTTTTGAGGCATGCCACTCCTTCTGTGCCATCTGACCCAACTTCTGCAGTTGTTGCTTTGACGGTGTATTACACAGCGCCACACAAAGCTATACATATATTCTTGGATCTGTGCATTCAACCCGCCATTGGACCGCTTGGATGCCAACTCTCTGGGCTTGCAAGTGCAAGCGAACGTTAACAAACCCCACCCCACCCCACCCCATCCCCACCCCACCCCATCCCCAACGTAGCATCAACTTGGTTTGCAAGTGCAAGCAATCGTTGACAGACCCCACCCCACCAGACCCCATCCCGACCCCACCCCAGCCCCAACGTAGTACCAACTTGGTTTGCAAGTGCAAGCGAACGTTAACAGACCCCACCCCACCCCACCCATCCCCAACCCAGCCCATCCCCAACGTAGTATCAACTTGGTAGCATCAACTTGGTTCGCATGTGCCAGCGAACGTTAACAAACTCCACCCCACCCACCCCATCCCCATCCCCACCCCATACCCAACGTAGCATCAACTTGGCGAATGGTAAAAACGTGGAAATTCTCGGGGTCGTTAGGGGGGCGTGAGCGAAAACAAGGCAAAGAATCAAGAATGGCTGCAGCTAGATATGTAAAGAAGTGAGCTTACAGGGCGCCCAGCAATCCGCGACATCAACAAAATCTTGTTGAGAAGTACACTTGCAAGTGCTTGGTGTTTGTCACATCCGGATTTTTGTAAATGGAGTTGTCTCACAAAATGTCAGTAAGTGTTCGGCGCTGTGCGGCATCGCCTCAAATTGTTGAATTCCTTGCATAGCGCTTTATTCTAATCTATTCTATTTCCCTTTTGCCTTCCCGATGCTGCCCCAGCTGCGGCATCCAGAATCTTCTCCTTTGGGTACCTCAGCCGAACACGACGCGGCAGCCTTTCGCTGCACAGATCACCCGGAACTGGCATTGGCACTTGCTCTCAGCGCGTGATCTTGCACTCTTGCACCGGCACCGCAAAAATTCCACCCCCTGTGGCGATGCGCGTTTGAAGCGATTGGAAAATGACCAAAGAATCCGAAAAACACAACCAACCACCAGCGACTGAGAAGCATTGTGCCCCTCAGTTGCAGCAGAGAGCTTCAAAACACCCCATCTTAAAGCATTGTAGGAGAGTGTACTATGTAATTTTACGAGGGAGATTGCACCAAAACAAGGCAATGCAGATCAGAAGGAAAATGTGGACAGCGTCACAAGAGTCTTGCCGGAGAAGGTTGTTTCGCTATTTGATCAAACTCCACTGTGATGTGAAGCACCTGGTAGAAATTTGAGAGAGGTCACGCACGTCTGTGCCAACAACAGCTCTGACACCATGATGGTCAACCTGCCGTTCGACCCGCTCTTAAAAACCTCGTCCATGGCGTATTCCCCTTTGCATGATCGACCCCTAGAGGCTTCTTTTCAGCTTCCAGCTTCTTCACATGGCCAAGTCTAAGGATTTTGGCACCATGTTGACGGACACCGGTGACACCATGGGCCACCTGGGCCGGTCCGGGGTCGACCCCGGTGGACAACGAGACACGTGCCGAAACCTGTCCTGCCCAGTCACGCCAAATCGATGCAAACGGTGAGCATCTTGGCCCATGTGTCGCCACAGCCTGAGTTCCGATTGGAAAGATGGAAAATCGAAAAATCCTGGTGCAAAAAGAAAGTTGGAACTTGGAACTTGGATGAACATGTGGAACATATTGGAACATGGTCCTGGAAAAGTGTTTGCATGATGATGAGCTTCAGCATCAAAAAGCATCATATAGCCACATGGCCTGAATCTAAGTGATTGAATCATATTGAATAGAGAGAGAGAGAGGCTACACAATGCAATATACAGGCCTTCGCACCACTGCACAAACATCTGCCACTGCGCTCACATTACTACTCTAATGCATCACTGGCAGCCCTCCGTTGATTGGATCATCTCCGAGATGTCTGCCAATTTGTCTTTGGCCGACAGCTTCTTGTTCTGCACCGTCGAGCGGTGGCTTTGGGTGCGTAACAAAGCACCCAGCTCGGAGCGGCCGATTCTGCACATGAACCCCATTCTGCTTTACCAGACTCTTCCACACCAACTAGGACCTTCTTGCAGCACCGCTCCAGTCATGACCGCACAGGCGTTCCACCTCTTCCGCCGCTCCAGTCATGACTGCGGCGCGGATGGCACCTGGACGACCTCGTAGGCTTTGTCCGCCATCTTCAGCAGCCGGGCAGACCTGCCGTCGCTCGGACTCTGCCGCGGGGGGAGAAGGGCGGAGCCGCGGAGAGCAGGGCGGAGAGTAGAGGATCGGGATCAAACAGAATCTGGGTGATACAAATGGAGGTGTCTGTTCATATGTTATGTATACATATATATATATATATACATAACTGGGTCCCAAAAGAATGAAGATCTTGGAGCTGAAAAGGAAAGAAAGGGAGTCAGAAGAAGCGTGCTAAGCTTCGGATGGACACTGAGGCGGGTGGTCAGCCTTGTCACAATGCTCCGGACCAGGTTTGCATCATTGTCCTGACCAGGCAGCAAAAGGTGGGCGCCTCTCCGACGTTTCACGCCAGTCACATGTCTCGGTTCTCGAAAATAGTGCTTTAACGCGTCAGTGGTACAACAAAACGAACATGATTACCTAAAACACCTCACCATGCAACAAAAGGCCTGTCCTTCAAGACTCTTTCTGGAATAATGCGAAAGCAATTTGTGAGGAGCGGATTGCCTGTCTTTTTTCGGTACCTCAGTAAGTGTGAAGAGGAACCCCTTCTGTCCAGCACATTCCAGCTTGCTGGAAAGGCACCATCAACCACAGGAAAGTTGAACCTTAGCTTACACCTTTGCTGAGGTGCTCGCCTTCACACAATCATGAACCCAAAAAGGTGCCTACATGTGCCTACTTGTGCCATGTCTTCCTCTTGGGTTGGAGACCTGTCCCGGCACGAACTCTTCATTGGGCACTCTACCGGGTTGAAACCGAATGTTCATTGGGGACCTGCTCTCAGGTATGGGATCTTGATCTACAGCGATGCAAGCTATGCAGCGATTTGTGGCAGGTGTTCTATGCATGTCTATGAGTTCATCTAAACTTAAAGCATCCTCGGCGACTCGGCACTTCATCAGCACTTCATCGGGTTTAGGTATCACTTCAGTCTGCTCGGTTCGTCGAGCCGGGCTCCGAACAAGCCGAGGGGCGACAGGATGGCCTTTTCCATCCGGCCCTCGGGCTCGAAAGCTTTCACAGGGTTCTTCCTCAGATGCGCAAAGGACGGAGCGTGGCTGTGGCGAAGAGAAAGGAGCTTGTCTAAGGCCTGGGGACCTGGGGAAGCTCCAGGTAGTAAACATGGCAATCCAGGAAATTGAGTAGAGGTTCTATTTGGAAATGCCAGCATGCCACAAGCAAGGACAGATAAGTGTGACGAGAATGCACAACTAAACCTTCTTTATCCGGATGCAAGCTCAGGGTCCAAAACTCCTTCTTCATGAGCGGAACTTGTGCTTGACTGAAAAGGTCACGCTTGCAGTGCGCTCGGAAAACGAAGATGGCCAAGAATTTCCTGAGGTCCACGATGGTGCCGATTCTCCAAGCACAGCCAAGAATCCGAAAATGTCAGGGTGCACTGAAAAAAGCATACAGCTCAGCCGACCTTGGAAAATAGCTCGGCTTCCAAAAAGACATGCACATTCACGCACATTGGGCATAACTGTTCTATCTTCCTCAAATCCCAGGTGTCTTGTACGTCCTTGGCCTTGGCCTGACCTGGCACCCCCCCGTCCCACTCCGCACGGCCCAAGGAACTGCTTTTCCGTCCAATCTGTGCGGCTGTGCACCGCCTCACAACACTTGAGCCGTTGAGCCAGTGCCATTCCCCTGGCAGGCTTGTTCAAAGCACCTCCGGCCTCCATCAGAAAGAGTTCGTGCACCCCCAGCACCGTGTGGTACGGCACCCATCTCTCGGTGTTCCTGGGAGGGTCAGAGAACTGAAAACTGCACAGTTCAAGCAAAAGCAATTGAGTTCATGGTCCATGGTGCATGAACGGCCCTGTTGATTTCCAACACGAGATGGAACTGGTCAGGCTCTTCTTTTCACACTGCTGCTTCTGCCACCCAAGGGTCCCCAAGTTGGGCTTCACGTGCTCATGGACGTGAGGAAAAAGAGCCTGAAGACGAAGAGCTGCTTTTGATCCCAATCCGAGCGGCTCGGATCGCAAAATCGAGGATGTTTTTCGGCTACTCTCCACCCAAGGATGGTACATTCATGGGTGTGGCGCGCGCAAAGCCCATGGAGGTTCACCTAGTTACTTATATAGTTGCTTCAGTGGAAACAGGAGGTGAAGTTTACACTCTCCCTGGCCATGGTGGAAGTGGATGGCATGGTCCCGAGTTGGAAGGACCGTTTTTCTCCAGAAGCAGGTGGTGAGCTTCACTTCCATGATTCCAGGGAGTGTAGTGATGATGGTTTTACCTGCCTTCTGCCTTGACAGCAGACCAACGCGAAAACAACAGTTCCGCCTGAACTAGTGAAGCTGCCCTGCCAACCGAGGAACCTCGGCATCTGCGTCTTTGAGGGGTATGTCCTTCTCCATGATTTCGCGGCCTTCGATCTGCAGCTGGCAAGAACAGAACTGGAAGAATTCCTCGGCTCTCCCAAGCACCAAGAGCTGTGTGAAAAAGAAATCTCCACAGCTCCTCCAAGCTCCAGCCAACCACTTGGGCCAGCTGACAGATCAGAAAGAGAAACCAAAGCAAGCGCCCCCCCAGTAACTCATCCAAGGGTCGTCCAAGGTGGCTTCGGGCATCGATTTTCCCGTCCTCGGAGCCTTCGACCGTTCACCTCGCGGACAGAGCGCGCGGCCGCGACGCCGGCGGGGCGACGCCGGCGTCTTCCGGTAGCCAAACATGGGCAAAAAGGTGCTTGGAAATGCCCATATCCAATTGCACAGTTCACTTATTTGTCATGCACACCAGCCAATCCATCCATCCCGCAAAAAGAGAGGAAGGAGAGAGAGAGAGAGAGAGAGAGAGCACTTCTTGGATTCCATGAGAGTGAAAAAGAAAGGATTCTGGCTCAAGTTCAACCGGACCACGCCGCGTGGCGGCCAACCGTTTGGGTCTTGAGGGATCCCGTCTTTGTTTTTTTTCCACTCTCCAACCTGCCGAGGGTGATCAACCCACCAGGTGGGGAACGAAGGTGCCGACGAACCGAGAGGTCAATCTTATCCCGCGGCCTCTTCCAAGTGCCCACTGCATACTCGCGGGCATTCGGTCGAATCTGTGGATATGACAACTAGCCGCAATTACGTAGATCAAAGTTCTACTCAGGTGGTCCCTCCAAAACCCCATTTTCCAGCTCAGGAACTAAGAGGCTTCGGTCCTGCCGCTTGCCCCTTCTTGAGCAGCGCCAGTCGTCCTCCCTTCAGGTCATATCTTAAATCAGCCTGCGTGTGCAAGGAACAAAGGCAAGCAAACGCACAAGCAGCATGCTGATGCTTCAGCTGAGCAAACTCGTGAGAATAAGTGAGCAAAATGACAATCCATCTCACCATACGGTACTTGGCGCCATCGATCGTGAGACGAACTGCTTCCTCCACAGTCCTGGGGCACAAGACTGCACAAAGGCATTACACAGTTCCGGATCTATTCGGTAGAACCGAGCGGTAGCACAGTTATATAATTATGTTGCTTTTTGTTGACCCTGTGTGGGAGCAAAGCTCCACAAAACGAGCTTTGAGCCGTGCGTCTTGCCATGGCAAGCAAGCGCTCGGTTCTCATAGAGCAGCTTCCCTCGCACAGCCTGCAGAAGCGTATCTCGGGCACCGCATATTGAGCTGTCCGCTGTCTTCAATCAATACAACTTTGCTGCATAACAATGGGATCAAAACAAAAGAACCTTGGGCTGTTGAGCATAATTGAGCATACATCCAATGCAAAGAGTTAAAAGAGACAAGTCAATCTGATCTTTCGTGGGCGTTTTTCCTAAGCACAGCGGCGCTGTGTTCGTCCGAAGTGTCCGAACATCGGACGAGCGTCGTTTCACCTTGTCGGTTGCTTTGAGCCTTGACGTTGGATCAAGCTTGGACACCTGCGGCCGCACACCGGTGCGGCCGAATGTCTCCAGTTTACCAAAAAGGAATGTCTCCACCCATGAGAAAGCAATAGCAACGAGTGTTTGATTCAAAAACATCTCTATATATATATATACATAATGTGTCACTAGTTACTAGTTGCAAGCACTTGTTACTAGTAGTGTGAAGCACTTACTTGTCTGCGTGTTTCTACCCTACCCACAAACTGATTCATAGGCTGACTGTCCACACGCGCCGTGCATGGTCAGGTGCCTTTTTTTGTACAGATTTCGCCTTGTTGACCATGGCGAGTGCCAAAAAACGAGGTGTTTTTCTTGAAAGGCACCACCACGGTTCGCAGTCTTAGAACCTGTCGTTGCCACGAAATCCTCGGCTAAGTCCTCTCTAAATCGATCTATACAGCCAAAAGTTCCACGTTGGGTCCTAAGGTCTTTCTCATCTTAAGCAAAGGTTCCTTCTGGCACCCCTTGAGCCGAAACTCTGCCACATGCTGCTTAGCGGCTTAGCGTGGTCTGCCACAGAGGCTGCACCAATTTTCCAGCTGGAACGTATCGACAACTGCTGCAGAAGATATGCGTAATTGTAGATGAATATGCTATAAAGTCGGCTTTTGAGGCCCACTATACTATACAGTTCATGAAGAGCCTGTTCTCAAGCACTTGTTCTATTCTTCGCAAGAGCAATGCATGGCGCGCATTGCGAGGAAACAAACTCACAAGCTCATACAGCCATCTCTGAACTGAAGTTGTTTTCCCGGAATTCGAAGATCGTTTGAATCAGGGAAACTTGAAACCTGAAACTGCGCGATCAGTGCTCAACTGGCATTCCCACCCCAATTCAACCTGCGAAGCTCGACTGCCTTCCAATTTGCACACCTGTTCCTCCAAATCCTGTACATCCGGCGTCTGGCACTCCCAATAGCTTCATGATTCAAACTCGCAAATGGAACCTCCGAAATCCGTATTTAAAAGCGTCGACTTCAACAGCTGCTCCTCCAAATCTTGGTACACATTTGGTTTCTAACACCATTGGCAAACGCATACGGCTCCGCAGGGCACCAACACCCTTTCAATTCACCAAAAGCCTCCGAGGCCCGTCCCGGGCCTTCGTGCGGGACCTCTACATCTAAGGTGCAAGAAAACGGTTGGCAGAAAATCTACGTGAGGAACAGTTGCCTTGCCCGAGACATGACCCATTCTACCTGTAACGAAACGTTCCTGAAACCTCAGGCTGGCTCTCGCAGCTAGGAGTTGGCCACCAGTCGCTTCGCTGAAATGCGCCCCAATGGGCTCTGGAAAGCGGCGGACCTCACACGAATAGAACTTCTTCGAGGCTTCTTCGAGGCTTCTTGGAGGTTGCAGTAGGGCGGCCGGAGCCTGAAGAACTCATATTTCAAGTCGTTACCCTTCTCCCAGGGTCACACACGCTCAGCCTCCTGAGTAGCACACACCGATGAAACCTGAGCCCTGTCTGATAGACGGATGAAATTGGTAGTTCTTGACCAAAATCAGAGCAGGACAGCACACGGAGCATTGTGTCGACGACCATGTGGAAGACCAAACCCCAAACCTACACCCTCCAGTGGGAAGGTCCAGTGTTCGTGTGCGGATCTGGGCACTTCCAGTTGTGCATCGCCCATCACCTCGATCTCAGGCGCGGAGATCAGCCTTGGGAGCACCGGTGAAGGCATCAGCCTCGAACATGCGACCACAGCCAGCCAAAGACGACCTCTCCCCGTGCCACGCGATCCACCACGCGATCCGCCTGAGGCGCATTGGTGCATGCCTACGCATCCGCCACGCAGCCAAGTAGCGCTGCCCACGGGCACCATCTGTGGCGGCGCAAGAGCCTCCTGACATCGCCGTCCTCCGTCCAGGACCTCGCCTGCGTCGCGTCAGAAACACACAGGACATCTCAACAGGGAGGTCTAGCTGAACATCTCCAGATTCTTGCCGTTCCAAAACCCATTCTGTTGATTGCAAAGGAGCTTTTCCATTCTTTGCCGAACATCCCCCATCATTACCCCAGCAAGTCCGAAAGGAAGGTAGCTTGCATTCAGCGTCTTTCAGCATGTTCCTGGAGTCTTGGCTTTCACTTGATTCTTCTTGGCGAAGTACTCACATCAAGATAATACTCTCCGCAAAGCACTGTGTTTCTCCGCAAGTGTGCCAGTCAAACTACTTGAAACTTCCAACTTCCTGTTGTCCGGGCTGCGTTGAGCACCGGGAGAGAATACACCTACGCCCACCCTCCTCCAACCCTCAGTGACAAGGGCCATAATGTTCACAAAAGAATCAATTGGGGACGGCCGGGCGAAGATTCAGCTGGGAGGAGCACCTCCCCCTTAACACTTCTGGCACAAATCCTAATAAGGGTGCCTACGTTAGATCTACATCTGCCCCCAAAAGCGGGATTTGTGCCGGAAGTGCTGAGTGATGTGTTTCACACGGAACCGTGATCCAATCCAACCCTCTCAGCAGCAGCAAATCATTTGGGCCATCCGGCCCATGAAGTCCCTCAAACTGGAGCCTGACGCGAGGAAAAAGTTCTTGAACGGAAATCCATGTCCGCTTTCGTCCGATATATTGGCAGGTGCTGATTCGGGTTGGAGGTCCTTGGCCCTTGGCCTCTACAGCCACTCGAGGTATTCCGTATTCCAGTAAACCAAGTTCATGTCCATAGGATATAGGACGTCTGGTTCACGGTAGCTTTTCGTACAAGGCGGAAAAAAGTGGGGGCGGACATCCTTAAAAAGAATGATTTTTGATCACATCCGTTGACGGCTGCGTGTTAATACGCTATAGATGCTCCGGCTCGCTCAAAGATGCCCAAAAACATCAGCAAACCAAAACGCCTTCACACCATCCAGAGCACCCCGCACAAATCCCAAAGCCGGGCCTTCAAACAACGGAAGTCTTCCCAAGCACCCCCCCCAAAACAGCTTGGGCCTGGTGCTTCAGCTTCTCTAGGGCCTTGGGCCTGGTGCGCCCGGCTGGGGCCCTCAGCTTCTCGCCACAGCAAGCGCCCCTGGCTGCGCACCTGCAGGCCGATGGCATTCCGCTCATCTACGATGCGCCAGGTGGGGTCCTGCTGCTTCAAGAGCTCCCGCGGTACGGGGCCCACCGGGCCGGTGCAAGCGGTGAAGAGCTTGCGGATCTTCCTGAAGCCAA